TGAGCTGCTGCTTGAACTGCTGCAGTCCCTTTTGTGTAGGCACACATGCACAGCCCTGTTGAGAGGGAGATTTAGGCTTTTGACCAGTGGACAGTGAAGGAACAGCAATCCATATTTCCACACTAGGCTGGTGAGTGGAACTTGCAGTGCTGGTGTCCCCATGTAGCTGCTGTCTGTGTCCTCTGGAATGGCTGTGGCCATGATTTTGGAAGGGGCTATCTGAGGAGTCTTGGTGAATTCCTGGCAGTGCATTTTGTAGATAGTACAATCTTCTGCTACTGTGTCATTGGTGGAGGGTGGAGTGGATATGGTACCATTAATTGAGCTGTTTAGTGCTGGATTGTGTCAAGCTGTCCTGACTTCTGCCTTGTGCAGACTTTGGGGAATCAGGTGGTGAATTATTCACTGTAGGATATCTAGTCTCTGACCTGCTGTTGTAGTTGCTATATTTAAATGTAGGTTCTAGATCAGTTTCTTGTCAGTGTTGACTCCATGATGATGTTAGTGGGGAATCCCATGATGGTAATGCCATTGAATGTCAAAGATGTTGGTTAGGTTCTGTCTTGTTGTAGATGATCATTGCATGGCACTTGTGTGGTGCAAATATTACTTGCTACTTGTCAGCCAGACATGGATATTGTCCAGGTCTTGTTACATTTGGATGTGGACTGCTTCAGTATCTGAAGTTGTAATCATTACCAATCATTACCAAACATCTCTACTTCTGATCCTCTAATAGAAAGAAGGTCATTCATAAAGCCACTGAAGATTTTTGAGCCTAGGACAGTACGATTTGAAAATTCTGCAGAGATGTCCTAGAGTTGAGATAACCGACCTTCAACAACCACAGCTATCTTCCTTTTTGTGCTAAGTACGATTTGAATCTTTGCGTACAGCTCTTATTTGTGTCTGCTAGTGCCATGGCTTCATTCTTAACTCCCTGCTTGTTGGTACTGCTTCCAGGTCAAGGATCACCACAGTGGATGAACTAGCATTTTGTATTAACCAATGAAATTATAAATGACCACTTTACATTTGACGCACAATCTTAAGCTTTTCAAACATTCCTGAGAAAATTTATGCATTTAAAAATTACAATTCTGTTTTATGGAATTAAAGGTTGCCCCACAGTTATTGGTAATTGAGTTATAGTCTAACTCTAGGAGCACAGGTCAAGCAATGTTTATTTGCTGTGAATCGTCATTGCTGTAACGTGCATGTAGCATGTGCTAGTGCTGTGCAAACACCACTTCTTGTTAATGGGAACTGTTTAGGAATAATGGGTGTATTTCCATAAAGTGGATGCATTCCTTTTTTTTTTAAGAATACTTAATTAGGGCAGGAGTCAGGACCAAGGACTCAAAAGAAATGCATCCAGTCAGTGGGTTTCTGCATGGCCAGGCACTTTCTATACAGGACCAATCCTATAAATTACAGCTTTGGCAACTCCCTCGGATCAAGAAACCTAAATATCTGAAATTGCTTCCTGTACATGTCACTTTTCTGACTCTGCTCAACAGCAGTGTAACTTTCTAGTGGGAATTTTGTTAAAGCCTTGGATGTCTTTAAAAGCTCCAGTGAGCAGTGTAGGTAATGTTGGAAGAAATTGCAGTTGATGTTTGAATGATGTTGATTGCCAAAATAAGCTACTGGGAATGATATTAATTTGTCAAACTTTCTGTCCCTCAGCTTCAACACGAATCCAGCCTCTTAGCAGTTTAGTTGACTATTATGTCACAATTCTGTCATGGCCAAGAACATGCTCTTCCTAACGGGATATATGGGTGGCAGGGGCTGGGAGGAGATGATCAGTTGATGGTTACCAGCTCTCATTCTTGAGAGACGGTGATCCCAGTGTAACTGTGTCAATATATACTAGCAATGATCTGGAATTCAGTACTGGAAAGGGCAGTGGAAGCAAAATCATTTGCAACTTTTAAAGGTGAATTGGGTTAGTACTTGGAGAGAACCATTTGAAGTGCTATTTTGAAAAGAACAGAGAAATAGATATAATTTGATAGCTCTTTCAAAGAACCCAGACAAATGTGATATCCTCAATGGCCTTGTGCTGGGAGAGGCTTTGATTTAACCTCATTTTGTGATTGAATGTGGGTGTTCTGGCACCTGCCACCAGCGTGTTTCGGTTATGATTAACATGAATTTGTTAACTTATAAGTGTACATGAATTTGGCTGCTTATATCCATGCCAACAACTTGATCAAGACCATTTGGTAACAAAAACAAGGCCATGCTACAAGTAATACTTGCTTTGAGTGCATGTAGCATTCCCCATCATTCATTTATAGTTGCAAAACAAGATCCAAATGCCAGCCAGTGATACAGAAACTGTTACTTACAAAGTAAAGTTTTCTCTACTCTTGCCTAACTCCATGTTGTACCTGCTCTGGGATTGTTTGATCAGGGCTGTGTAAAGATTCCCCCCAGACTCTGTCTGTCAAGCACTCCCAAGACAAGTACAGCATGGTTAGATCAGGAGTCAAGGTACTTAGTGTTGCTGTGAGGCGAAAATTCCAAGTTGCTGGCAGGGAGGGATGTGCCACATGGTCTTGAGTCTTCAACCGATGATCAGTTGTCACAGAATTGGAGATGGGTTGATTAGAAAATATGTAGACATTTGCGTGGAAATTTGAGGGTTCTTGTGACATGGTAGTGTCCACACCATTGGGCCAGGAGGCTTGGGTCCAAGTTCACTGCTCTAGAGGTGTGCAGTAACATCGCTTGATTAGTAAATATAAACAAGTGACTGAGCAGATCCATATAATAGGGCTATTCTATTGAAGAGGGATGTGATTCAGTGAATTGATGGAAGCTGTGTTGAACGTTGAAAGACATCTTATTCCACAAACTGTAGTATGTAACTGTTCCTGACATCTCACCCACATTACAAATTTTAAAACTAGTCTCTCTCTCTATTTTCACCACCAGTCCTTAAGATTGTTATTTTAATTTCCTGTTTTTAATTAACTGTCAGAGCGCATATTACCCCCCCCACTCGCTATGTGTACTCTGATTTTGCAAGGGCAGGCACAAGACTGTGGTGAAGATAAACCAGAAATAGTGTTTATTTCCCACGCTTTTAGAGGCTGGGGGAAATCTTGCAACGCAACACTTCCGAAAATACAAGGAAATATGTAATTGGAAAGGATCAAGAGATTGATGTAATTAGTAATGACTTACTTATACATTTCAAAGTTTTTGCTTTTTAAGATGAAGTCCAGTGTTGGAATTGGCAGACTGGAATTCCTAGCCAGCGGTTGAGGAGTTGTAGGTCCTTTCTGCTCTTCAGAAATTCCTTTTGAGGGTCTTCTGGGGGCATTTGGCTGAAACATGACTTCCGCTTCACTGTTTTGGTGGAGTTTGAATTTAAAAGCTAAGCACAAATGCTGGTTGGTGACCAGTTTTTCCAAGCCAGTGGCTTTTCCTGTGTAATCCAGAGTTAGGGGTATTGATCATTGTCACCACATAGAATAATACTTTCCCACTTTAACTGTCCGCAATTTCAACAATTCTATTCCTAGAGTGAGTTGGGTTCAATACTGAGTCATGTGATCAAGTCTTTGGGTGGGGGGGTGCGTGGGGGGAAGGAAAATAGTTACCATCAAATCAAAAAAGCTCGCGCTGCAGATAATAATGGCCCATTCCGTAAGTAAACTAAAAAGTTATCAGCATGGTTTATAACAAAAATCAAAATCGCTGGAAAAACTCCGGCAGGTCAGGCAGCATCTGTGGGAAGAAAGCAGAGTTGGTGCTGCGAGTTCAGTGACTCTTCAACAGATTTTATAAGATTGGTGTAACTTGCAATTCTGTCGTATAGGGTGTTTTCCTGGAGATTGTTCTCTCTGTAACGGCTCATAATACAATAAAAAATATCCAGTCTTGCCTGAGGCATGTGAGGGATTGATTGCCTAGCTGACAATGTTTGAGAAGCTATCCAGAAGTTACATGCTAAGTCTGTTCACAGGAATGTAACAGCAGTCTTTATAAACAATCACTAATCATATAGATTGTTATTCTGTATCTATCAGTTTTTATTCCGGTTATGATATTGTGTTACTGGTGTGCTCAGGGCATAATCCCAGCGAGCCAAATGGATGAGCAAAAGTAGGAGAGTTAAGTTGTCTCAGCATTGTTTTGTTAATGACTGGCGAAGCATGGGTCTGAGAGTCGCGAGTGGGGTCCAACTGCAGAGATTCAAGACCCTTCACCAGCCTGAAGCAGTGCAGTACTCGAGAGAGTGCTGTACTGATGGAGGATTAGCACTGGCATTGAGTAAGTGCTGCATTATCACAGGCCAGTGCTGAATGAGTGCTACTTGATAGAGCACTACAGTATCAGAGGGTCAGTTGGGAAGAAGAACTACATGATCGGTTGGTCACTACTGAGTTAGTGTAGTACTGATGGAAAAGAGAGTACTTGAGGCAATGCTGCACTGTCATGGTCAGTGCTGAGAGAGGGCTCCACAGCTGGAAAGTCAGTGCTAGGGAATCGCTGCATTGCTGGAGGATCAGTGCTGGAGATCACTGCATTGCCAAATGGTCAGTGCCAGGGGATCGCCGCATTGCCTGAGGGTCAGTGCTGAGGAATGGATTCTGCCATTCAGAGAACTGCCATCTCTCAACTTCTGATGACCATTTCCTGTATTGCTCTCCTCCCCCCACCAAACCACCACCACCCCACACAGTTTTTTGCTGGCTGAGTTTTTATTTCTTTCGCTCAGCTATTTGTTTTGTAATTAGTCCTGGCCTTTTGGGTCTTGAGCAGCTGTAGTTCTTGTGAGCAATATGAGCTGTCTTTTCCTGTATCTGCCAAATGGAGACCATCCATTGAATAGAGGAGAGGGCGATGTATCTCCTTCGATTGCTCTGCTTTTTAGATGTACTATTCTCATGTGGAAAATAATTGACATTCTGACCGTTTGTGTGATGTCTGCACTGTCCCTGAGCACTGGCTGTAACAAGATTTTGGTCTTGTGATTTCAGGACATGTCTGACCCCCAAAAGGAGCTGCGTCCTCGTCTCTGTCGTATGCAGAAAGGTGCTAATGGTTACGGCTTCAATCTGCACAGTGAGAAGTCAAAGGTCGGTCAGTATATCCGGGCTGTGGATGCTGACTCTCCTGCAGAACGTTCCGGACTGCTGCCTCAGGACCGCATAATTGAGGTACCCATTTTTCACTTTAAGTCTATCTCTCTCTCTTCCTCTGCCATTGTCCACCTGTGTGTGCCTGCATGTCTCTGCCTTAGAGTGTGGTAGTGGCAGTCTTATTGAAATATTCAACTGGGAAAGCTTCATGATGGAGCCCACCCCTGTCCTCCTCTGCCCTTGCCAGTTGGGGTCAATGGGTGGTGATCCAGGGTTGGAAGCCTTGCCACAGAAGATATTTTGAATGAACTCTTGAATTAATCCACTCTTGCCTGTAGACCAACAGATTTTATCTGATAACACTAGGACCAGCTCAGGTCTGATCTGAGAGCCTTGGGTACTCGATTGGCCTTTGTATACCCTGGCTGTCCTTTTGGATAGGAGCAAGACGGTTTGTGTGATTGCTTGAAGGGACCCTCATCCTAAGCTTGTGGATCAGTGATATTCTGCAGTTATTGTCACCAATCATTGCTCTTTGTCCTGAAGTGTTTTGGCATGGAAAAAATGAGAACTTTGTGCCTGGTGTCCCTATACCTACACTGTACTACATTGGTTGGGAGTATGCCATTCATCGCATTTCATTGGTCATCAACAGCACTGCCAATCAAATTTCAGACACCCAGGATTGCAAATGAAAAGTGTCTCCAATATCTTGCAAGCAAGCTATCCCTCACTTCCCCTGCCCCTTTTTTTCCCCCCTTTTTCTTTCCCTTGCATGCACAGTCTTCCTTTCTTTCGCGCCCTTGCTTGTTCGCGCCCACCCTTGCTCGCTGTCTCTCCTTCCTTCCTTCCCATCTGTTGGTTATCCTCTTCACTCAGTTATTTGATAGCCATAATTTCCTGACGGTGTATTTCAGTTACTCTTAGTCCTTTTCCCACTAATATCAGGGACTTATCTTGATGTCTCGGCCAGTCTTACTTCCTCAGCTCCAATCTCTGTATTCCTGTTCCTGGAATGCATTACTGAGCTCAGTGTCCTGTCAATACACTTACCCAAACTGCAGTTTCCTGCTTGGTGGTGCAAGGTTTGGTACACTTTCTAGCTTGGGACTATCAGCAAAATTAACAGCAGTTACTATCTTTAAGTCAGAACTGGAAGAATCAGGGAGAATCAGTCTATTCCTGATCTCCTTCTGCTAACTTGACAATGTTGCTTTTATTCCAACTCTGTCTAATTTCTCACTAAGTGCCAAGCAATTCCTTCCAGTTTCAGTTGACTCCATTTTTCTCAATCTTTTGTCTGAAACCTAACAATGCCTTTTGAAAATCGAATCTACAAAGATCACTCAGGGTTCAATTAGAGATCGTTTTGTGAAAGATAAACCATGTTGACAATCTGTAATCAACATTTTATTTTTCTCAGTAATCACCTCTGTGCCCCACACATTTCGCAATCTTTGCACTACTAACGGTGAACTCGCTGTTCTGGGATTTTGCTTCCTCTTTTGTTTGAATATTTTAAGACAATTTGTCTTTAGTTTCAAACAGGCAAAAGAGAGGGGGAAAAGCATTAATTTCATTAAGCTGGTTGAATGTAAACAGCATTAATAGATGGTGTTTAATCTCAGCATGTAATTTAGTGTTTGCTGCGCGATTTGGTTATTGATCTAGAATCCACCTTGTGTGAGTCTTTATAGACGAGTATTAATATTCAGGAGTTTTCAGTGGAATTTCACATCCAGTGAAAGATCAGGGACACTCTGTCAGACTTGGGGTATAAAGCATGCTCAGGTGACTTGGAATCTTTCAAAACAGTTTACACCCGGGAGGTGTCTTGTACTGAATTTTTTCATACAAATAATTCTGACAGTTTTCTTCACATCATGATTTCCACACATACAGGGGAATGATTGACCAAACGGTTAATCTGTCTTTGGCTGAGGAAAGGATGTTGGGCTGGTGTGTCTAGCTGACAGAAAATAAGTCTGAGTTTCTGTTTAATATCCCATCGGTTATGCTAGGTCATTTGACAGCGGTATGGAGGAAATGGAAACAATCCCTCGGGGCTGCACTGGCGTGTTGGTCCAAATGACTGCTGTTAAATGTTGCTCAAAGCAATAATCTTCCTAAAAGTTTATTAATAAACTGTATCATGTCATTTCACAGTTTTTGTGTCTCTCTGCCAGTGGAATATTTACAAACCATTAATGGAACTGTCAAAAATTCCATTCACGCAATGAGCATTTATAGACCTGCATATCCCAATGCCTTCAATGAGATGAACCCTGTGGGAATTATTCTGATTTTGTCTTTGGCTTTGGCTTTGGCTTCTGTTGGCTGTCAGATTAAAGAAGCACCATCTACAGGGGGAAAACTAATGGGAAAGATACTATTTTTGACCCTTCCTTGTCTCTTTTGATTTCTTGATACATCTCCTCACTTTCTGCATGCTACTTTTGATCTTTTTAACTTTCTCCTGTTCTCCACTTAAATACTCTACCTTTCTCAACTGGGAACTTGTATTCATGTAGCACAGATTTGCGTATGTATTTTTTCTACAGACGGTGCAATTTGCTGAATGCCTGCAGCTTTTTCAGTTTTCAGTTTAATGAAGGCTGTGTACCTGAAGTGACATTTACTGTCGATTATGGCTGTGGTAGTGTGCAGTGCTGCTAAAATAAGCACTGCTTTGTGTTGCAAAGTGAGGGACCAATATCTGGAACTTTGCTGCAGGCTATTCGTGTCCGAGGACACACTTGCTTCCTCTTGGTCACGTCATTTGCTGTTCAGTGTGGGTAATGGAAGGTGACCAAGAAGATCCCCAAGAGTAAAGTCTGTCTGTCATACTCTCAGAATCATACCTTACAGACAATATCCCAGAGACCACCTCACAGTTCCTGATTATGTCCTGTCCTACTGGCAGAGACCCAGCAGAGATGGTAACACAGTGGTATTCAGCCAGGAGAGAGTTGTCCTGGGAGTACTCAATATTGACTCTGAACCCCATAAAGTCTCATGGCTTCAGGTTAAACAGGCAAGGAAATCTCCTGCAGATTACCACATACTGTCCTCCCTCGGCTGATGAATCAGTTCTCCTCTATGTTGAGCAATACTTGGAGGAAGCACTGAGGGTGGAAAGGACACAAAATGTGCTCTGGGTGGGAGACTTCCGTGTCCGCCATCAAGAATAGTTCAGCAGCAGTACTACTGATCGAGTTGGTTGGGTGCTAAAGGACATGGCTGCGAGATTAGATCTGTGGCAAGTGGTGAGGGAAAACATTTGACCTCATCCTTACCAATCTGCTGGCTGCAGATCTATCTGTCCGTGACAGTTTTTGAAAGTGACGACCGCACAGTCCTCATGGAGACCAAGTCCTGCCATCACAATTGAGAATACCCTCCATCATGTTACGTCATATTATCACCGTGCTAGATGGGACAGACTTTGAACAGATCTAGCTACTCAAAACTGGGCATCCATGACGTGCTGTGGGCCATCAGCAGCAGAATCGTACTCCAACACAATCTGTAACCTTGTGGCCCAGCATACCCCCCACTGAACCTCTTGCCATCAAACTAGGGGATCAACCCTGATTCAATGGAGGGCACGCCAAGAACAGCATCGGGTATACTTAAAAATGAAGTGCAAACCTGATGAAGTTACTAAACGGGGCTATTTGCATGCCAGACACGATAAACAAACAACAAGCAATAGAGCTAAGCAATCCCGCAACTAATGGATCAGATCTAAGTTCCATTGTTCTGCTATATCCCTATGTGAATGCTGGTGGACAGTTCAAAAACTCAGTGGAGGAGGAGGCTTCACAAATATGATGGAAGATCCCGACACATCAGTGCAAAAGATAAGGCTGAAGCATTCGTGGCAATCTTCAGCCAGAAGTGCCAAGTGAATGATCTATCTCGATTTCCTCTAGTGGTCCCTAGCATTACTGATACTGGTCTTCAGCCAATTCTATTCACTCCACACGACATCAGTAAATGGTTGGAGGCTCTCGATAATGAAAAAGCCATGGACCTGACAACAATCCAGTAATAGTACTGAAGACTTGTCCTCCCAAACTTGCCATTCCCTTAGCCAAGCTATTCCAGTACAGTTACAACACTGGCATCTACCCAACATTGTGGTAGACTGCCCAGGTAGGTTCTGTACATAAAAAGCAGCACAAATCCAAACCACCCCCATTGTCGATTAAAGTGATGGAAGGTGTCATCAGCAGTGTTATCGAGCAGCACCTGCTCAGCAATAACTTGAGCAGTAACGCCCAGTTTGGGTTCTGCCAGGGCCACTCTGCTCCTGACCTCATTATAGTCTTGGTTCAAACATGGATAAAAGCTCTAAAATTCAGAAGTGAGTGTGACAGCTCTTGATACCAGTGTCAGATTCAGTTGTGTGGCACCAGGGAGCCCTAGCAAAACTGAAATCTATGGGTTTCAGGGGCAAACTTCCCACTTGTTTGAATCATACCTGGCAGATGGTTGTGGTTGTTGCAGGTCAGTCATCTGAGCTCCAGGACATCTCTGCAGGAGTTCCTCCAGATAGTGTCCTAGGCCCAACCATCTTCAGCTGGTTCATGAATGACCTTCCCTCCATTGTTAAGATCAGAAGTGAGGGAATTTTTTTTTTGTTTTTTTTTTTTTGCTGCTGCGTGCACAATTTTCAGCATCGTTCATGAATCCTCAGATACTGAAGCAGTCCATGTTCAAATGCAGCACAATCAAGACGATATCCAGGCATAGACTGATAAGTGGAAATTAACATCCATACCACACAAATTCCAGGCAATGACTATCTCCAGTAAGAGACGATCTAACCACCATCCCTTGATATTCAACAATGTTGCTATCATTCAATCGTAGAATTCCTACTGCGTAGAAAGAGGCGATTCAGCCCATGTGGGCACACGCACACGCACACCCCTGCATTTACCACAGCGAATCCACCTAACCTGCACACTGCAGGGTCATATAGCATAGCCAGTCCACCTAATGTGCTTCTGTTTTGACTGTGGGAGGAAACCAGAGCAGCTGGCAGAAACCCATGCAGACACTTGGAGAATGTGAAAACTCCCATCTAGACATTAGCTGAGGGTGGAATAGAACCCATGTCCCTGGCGCTGAGAGTCAACCGTGCTAACCATTGTGCCACTCCGCTGCTCCCTACTATCAACATCTTGGGGGTTACCATTTGACTAGAAACTCAACTGGACACATCCTATAAATACACTGACTGCAAAAATCAGTCAGAGGCAAGGAATGCTGTGGCGAGTAACTCTCCTCCTGACTCCCTAAAACTTGAGCACCATCTACAATGCACAGGTCAGGAGTGTGATGGAATACTCCCCATTGCCTGGATGGGTGCAGCTCCAACAATACTGGAGAAGCTTGACACCATCCAGGACAAAGCAGCCCACAACATCAGTGTCTCATCTACAAGCATTCACCCCTTCCACCACTGACACTCATTAGCAGTGATGTGTACTATCTATAAGATGCACTGCACAAATTCACCAAAGATCCTCAGACAGCATCTTCCAAATCCATGATCACTTCCATCTAGAGAAACTAGGGCAGCAGATACATGGGAACACCGACACCTTCAAGTTCCCTCCAAGCCACTCCCCATCCTGACCTGGAAATATATTGTTATTCCTTTGCCGTCACTTGGTCAAAATCCTAGAATTCCTCCCTAAGAACATTTTTGGTGGTCTGTCTACAGCACATGGACTGCAGCGGTTCAAGAAGTCCGTTCACCACCACCTTCTCAAGGGTAACAAGGGATGGGCAATAAATTCTGGCCAGCCAGCAATGCCCATGACCCATGAATGACTTAAGAAAAGATCTGTACCCTCCAGTATTGTATCTTCAGTGTTATGCAGTGACAGATCTGTGTCCCCGTGACAATCCTGTCCCCATTAGTGCTGTACCCGGAGTGAGAATCCTGAAACCCCTCGACCCCTGGAGCACTATGGGTGTCCCTACGCCACAAGGACTGCAGGACTTCAAGAAAATAGCTCTAGGGTAATTAGGGATGAGCAATAATTGCTGGCTCAGTGCACATCCCATGAACAAACACACAAAATCCCCACCAGTAAGTATGGTTGTAAATATCTATTGTTTCTCCTTTTTTTCTTTGCATGTCTGTCTGTACCTTTTGTGTTTCTGGCACTCCATGTCTTACCCAAATCTGATGGACTCTGTGTGTCTTGCAGGTCAATGGTGAAAATGTTGAAGGGAAGCAGCACTCTGATGTGGTGACAGCCATTAAGACTGGTGGTACAGAGACCTCATTATTGGTTGTCGATCCAGAAACAGATGAATTTTTCAAGAAATGCAAAGTTTCCCCATCAGTTGCACATCTTACAGGTACTGGAGCAGCTGTCCACTCCAAGCTGCAAGTTTGTTTGCTTTTGCATATTAGTTTAGATTAGAAATAGTTGTTTAGTTTACTTTATTTTCCTTATTGATTTCATCTTGGTGATCTTTATAATGGAGTTTGGGTTGAGCTGGGGGTTTTGATTGTTTGCTGCCCCATGGTGGGGGTGGGGTGGGGGGGCTAACAATGAACTTTCACATTTCAGAGCTTAGCTCCCATCCTGGGAAACTGAGATTGAGGGTCGAAGCAAATGATTCTTGGTTTTTAGGTGTGTCTGGTCCAGCAATGTGATGCAGTGCACGTAATCACCCACTTGGAGTCATTGTCTTTGCAGGCAGGGCTGTGGGGAAGATCGATGCCCCTTCTCTTCCTCTTGTGGGTGAGAATAAGAAGAATTGTGCTGGGTGTTGGCCAGAGACTTGTTGATGTTCCACCACCTCACTCTGTCCCATGGGAATGCGAGAGGTTTGTAGCAGCTGCAGTTGTGCCACTCTGAACGTTGGGCATGACATTTCTTCTGCCAGGCCCTGTGCTAGGTGCTTTTCAATCACCAGAGACTATGATAGCTATTGTGCCTGCTCAAGTTGCTGTTCAGAATGTATGGATGCAGGGACTGGATTGGAGGTTGTGTAAGAGAAGCTGTTCTGCCTAAGTGGGAATCCAGTAAGCAAGATGAAGTAATTTCCAAACATGGCCAATTGGTCTGTTCTTCGATTGTTAGAGTGGTCATAAAGTTTTACATCTTGAGCACAGATTTAAGTCTTGGTCCCAGCCTCCCCAGCTTTTTATTTGTTGCTTTGAAGATTGTTAATTTAACAAAGTGGAGTGTGTGGACAGAAAGTAGAGGAAGAGTTCTTGTGGTCGAGGAATCAGCGTGCATTGAGAGCTGAAAGCGTTATTGGGCAAAATGGTGAAGCTGGTTCTGACTGGATGAGCTGGAAATTGCTGGGTATCTGGTGCCTCTTGTTTTGAGTTGACCTGGCCTGGGACTCCTTTAGGAAGCTTTCCATGAGGTGGCTGCTGTTTCTGGAAGCTCCTTTTTGGAGGGAAGGAGCATTGCTGAGATATTGATCGCTGTCCCAAATTGAGAGGGTTTGGTGAAGTTTACATATATCTAAACCCTTGTTGGTCTGTCTGAACATTAGTGAAACATAGGCTGTAAGAAGCCAAGGGCTAGCCATGTGCCTCTTCTCAGATATGCTGTGTAGTTGTCCCCTTAACTCTGTGGTAATGTACGTTGCCAGGGTAAAGAGCAAGGGGTGGGGTGATATCCCTTTTCTAGGGGATGGGAGTGTCAGATTTGGAGAGAAAGTGGAGGAGGTAAGCACGTCTCAGTGTGAGGAATAAATGTTCAGCTGGTATTTGATGGATATAGAGGAGTGGATGAGCCGGTGATCTGTTTTGCAGTTGTCTGCACTGGTCATCACTTTGGTAATGAGGGTATCCTTTTTGTCTTGGGATTGAACAATGATATAGTCAGTGTTATCCCAGTGCTTTGATCCTCAGAAGTTTGGAACTTTGTATTTTTGGTGGAATGGCATGTTGGCAATGACCGTCTGGTGTTCCACACATTTATTGAGCAGGAGAATCCTGTTGGAGTTGGAGTTGCAGTTCGACAGTCCTTCCTTTCCAGGGTTGGAATCGTGCACAATAAAGCAAGGGTTGTATCTACGTGTGTGCCACACTTGCCCAAAAGGATCTGTTGCTGAACATTGTCCTTTGACTAACTTAATGTAAAATGCAATGTCAAAGGCTGTAGAAAGGGGCATGCAGTTAACTTTGTCCCAACTTGCAATCAGGCAGGATTTCTGATCTCAAATGAATGGTCTCTGCTGATGGCTGTGCATATTAGGTGAGTTCACAACTGTGATGCCCCTCCATTTAGCTCAATGAGGGCTGGTGATGACTAAGGACATGGATTAAAGTTGCCCCAGAGAAGTTGTACCTTTATTCAGAGTCTGCTTCATAGAGTCATAGAGCTGTACAGCACAGAAACAGACCCTTTAGTCCAACTTGCCCATACTGACCAGATATACTAAATTAATCTAGTCCCATTTGCCAACATTTGGCCGATTTATTGCTCTAAATCCTTCCTATTCATATACCCCTTCAGATGCATTTTAAATGTTGTTGTAATTGTACCAGCTCCACCACTTCCTCTGGTAGTTCATTGCATACATGCACCACCCTCTGTGTGAAAAAGTTGCCCCTTAGACCTCTCTTTAAATCTTTCCCCTCTCACCTTAAACCTATGCTGCCTACTTTTGGACTCCCCCACACCGGGGAAAGGTCCTTGCCTATTTACCCTATCCATGCTCCTCATGATTTTATAAACCTGAGGTCACCCCTCAGCCTCCGATGCTCCAGGGGAAATAGCCGCAGTCTATTCAGCCTTTCCCTATAGATCAAACTCTCCAACCTGACAACATCCTTGTAAATCTTTACTGAACCCTTTCAAGTTTCACAACATCATTTCTATAGCAGGGAGACCAGAACTGAATGCAGTGTTCCAAAAGTGGCCTATCCAATGTCCTGTACAGCTGCAATATGACCTCCCAACTCCTATACTCAATGCATTGACCAATAAAGGCAAGCATATCAAATGCCTTCTTCACTATGCTGTCTGTCTGGGACTCCACTCTTAAGGAACTATGAACCTGCACTCCAAGGTCTCTTTGTTCAGCAATGCTCCCCAAGATCTTACCATGAAGTGCATAAGTCCTGCTCTGATTTGCCTTTCCAAAATGCAGCCCCTCTCATTTATCTAAATTAACTCTATTACCACTCCTTACCGGCTCCATCTGATCAAGGTCCCATCTGAGGTAACCTTCTTGGCTATCCGCTACACCTCCAATTTTTGTGTAATCTGCAAACTTACTAACCATACCTCCTGTGTGTGTGTGTGTGTGTGTGTGTGTAAGTGTGTATAATATATACATATATATGATGTAAAGAACCAATCCTTGTGGCATACCACTGGTCACAAGCATCCAGTCTGAAAAGCAACTCTGTACCATCACCCTCTGTCTCCTGTCTTCGAGCCAATTTTTTGTATCCAAATGGTTAGTTCTCCCTGCATTCCATGTGATCTAACCTGGCTAACCAGTCAAACATGTGGAACCTTGTCAAACGTCTTATTGAATTCCATTTAGATCATGTCCACCACTCGGCCTTCATCAATCCTCTTTGTTACTTCTTCCAAAAAAAAAACCAAATCACATTAGTGAGACCCAAATTCCCATGCACAAAGCCATGACAGAACCGTAGAAATGAAACAGAACAGATTTTGGCCCCTCATGTCCATGCTGACCTAAAGATATCCTGATGCCCTTTCTAATCTCAGCAGGTGGAAAAACTCTGCAAGTCTGGCAGCATCTGTGAAGAAAAAATCAAGAATTAATGTTTTGGGTCTAGTGACCCTTCCTCTGAACTGATGGTAGCTAGGAAAATGTCAGTTTAAACACAGAACCTGCCCATTTACCCCTCCCTCCCCAGTATCCAAGGGCCCAAACATACCTTCCAGGTGAAGCAGACTTTAACTGCACTTCCCACAATCTAGTCTACTGTATTTGCTGCTCACAATGTGGTCTCCTCTACACTAGGGAAACTAAGCGTATACTGGGTGACCACTTTGCAGAACATCTACATTCTGCCCAGAAAAAAGATGCTGAGCTTCCAGTTCATAGAATCATAGAATTCCTACTGTGTGGAAACAGGCCATTCGGCCCAACAAGTCCACACCACCCCTCTGAAGAGCATCCCACCCAGACCCATTCCCCCACCCCTGCATTTCCTAAACATCCCTGGGCACTATGGCCAATTTAGCATGGCCAATCCACTTAGCCTGCACATCTTTGGACTGTGGGAGGAAACCGAAGCACCCAGTGGAAACCCACGCAGACACAGGAGAAATGTGCAAACTCCACACAGTCACCCAAGGCTGGAATCAAACCTGGGTCCCTGGCACTGTGAGGCAGCAGTGCTAACCACTGAGCCACCGTGCCTGCCACTTAACACACCACCCTGTTCCCTGCCCAACCGCTCTGTCTCGGGCTTGCTGCAGTGCTCCAGCAAAGCTCAGCACAAGCTGGAAGAACAACACCTCGTTTTGCACTTGAGTCCGGAGGGCTGTAAGGTCCCCAATATCGGGTTCAATAATCTTAGTGCCTGAACTCTTTCCATGTTCTAACCCCCTACTCCACACACCAGGCCCTATTATCACATAGCCTGCCATTACGCACTACCTATTGTTAGCCTATTGTCTCCGTTAACAGCTATTCACCCTCCTAGCCAGATCGTTATGAACTCCTTTGTCTGTCCAACTATTGTTTTCTCTCTTTGGGCTCTATCCCTACCTATCATTGACTGCACCCCCTCTCCCCACCCTATCTTCTGCATATAAAACAACATTTTCGTAGTTACTGTCAGTTCTGCGGAAAGGTCACTGGACCCGAAACATTAATTCTTGACTTTTCTTCACAGATGCTGCCAGACCTGTTGAGCTTTCCCAGCAACTTCTGTTTTTATCACCAACTGGAAACCCAGCACAGTTGGGATGTTTGTTTAGTTTTGTACCTTTGCCATTTTGTTGCTTTTCTGGAAATATTTGTCCTGTGTTACAGCAGGTTGCATTAGAAAGTTCATTAAGTTTGCAGCTGAATAACCCATTGTAGATTTTCAAATAATCGTATTCAATGTTTTATAAATAAAGATTGAAGTTTTTCAAGCAATTGTGATGCTGTAGATAGCCTTTGTTAAAGGGTCTGGCAGATGTGATGCCGTACATTGCGCTGAATTATAAGGGCCTTGCAAATTTCGTAGCTTTGGGAGACTCTGGCTGTTATGTCATACAAGAAGTATAACATTCACATTTATTTTCAGAATTATTTTTCTTAAATTATTTTAAGAGCAACTTAGTTCCAGAATTATGGAATGTTTAAATCCAAATATGCAAGGGAGCAGCATCTATCAGCAATCATTCTCCTCTTCACCCTGTAACCCTAAGTGCTAACAACATTCTGA